TCCATCTGTCCATCCCTGTGTCCATCTCCTTGTCCATCTTCATCCCAACGTCCCTCTGTCCATCCCCACGTCCATCTCCATCCCTGTGTCCATCTCCATGTCCGTCTGTCCATCCCTGTCTCCATCTTCATCCCCGCGTCCATCTTCATCTCCATCTGTCCATCCCTGTGTCCATCTTCATCCCCACGTCCATCCCCGTGTCCATCTCCATCTCCACGTCCGTCTGTCCATCTCCTTGTCCATCTCCATCTTCATCCCCGTGTCCATCTGTCCATCCAAATGGCCTCCTTTCCATCTCTGTGTCTGTCTGTCCATCCCCACGTTCATCTTCATCCCCACGTCCATCTTCATCTCTGTCTGTCCATCCCAATGTCCTCCTTTCCATCCCCACGTCCATCTCCTTGGCCATCTTCATCTCCATGTCCCTCTGTCCACCTCTGTGTCCATCTCTGTGTCCATCTCCATGTCCGTCTGTCCATCTCTGCGTCCATCTGTCCATCCCAATGTCCTCCTTTCCATCCCCACGTCCATCTCCTTGTCCATCTTCATCTCCGTGTCCATCTCCGTCTCCATCCAAGGAACCTTCTGGCCCTTCCTGTGTCCATCTGTCCATCCCCGTGTCCACCATCTCTGTGTCCATCTCCATGTCCGTCTGTCCATCCCCACGTCCATCCTCGTGTCCCTCTGTCCATCCCCACGTCCATCCTCGTGTCCCTCTGTCCATCCCCACGTCCATCCTCGTGTCCCTCTGTCCATCCCCACGTCCATCCTCGTGTCCCTCTGTCCATCCCCATCTCCATCTAAGGGACCTTCTGTCCATCCCCATGTCCCTCTGTCCATCCCCACGTCCATCCTCGTGTCCCTCTGTCCATCCTTGTGTCCGTCTTCATCTCCATGTCCATCTCCATGTCCATCTGTCCATCCAAATGTCCTCCTTTCCATCCCCGTGTCCATCTCCATCCCCACGTCCACCTCCATGTCCATCTGTCCATCCCCGTGTCCACCATCTCCATGTCCATCTCCGTCTGCATCCAAGGGACCTTCTGGCCCTTCCTGTGTCCATCTGTCCATCTCCGTCTCCATCCAAGGGACCTTCTGGCGTGTCCGTCTGTCCATCTCCGTGTCCACCATCTCTGTGTCCATGTGTCCATCCCCATCTCCATCCAAGGGACCTTCTGGCCTTTCCTGTGTCCATCTGTCCATCCTCGTGTCCATCATCTCCATGTCCATCTGTCCATCCCCGTCTCCATCCAAGGGACCTTCTGCCCATCCCCGTGTCCATCTGTCCATCCTCGTGTCCATCATCTCCATGTCCCTCTGTCCATCCCCATCTCCATCTAAGGGACCTTCTGTCCATCCTCGTGTCCATCTGTCCATCCTCGTGTCCACCATCTCCATGTCCATCCCCATCTCCATCCAAGGCACCTTCTGTCCATCCCCGTGTCCATCTGTCCATCCTCGTGTCCATCATCTCCATGTCCGTCTGTCCACCCCCGTCTCCATCCAAGGGACCTTCTGTCCATCTCCGTGTCCACCATCCCCGTGTCCATCTGTCCATCTCTGTCTCCATCCAAGGGACCTTCTGTCCATCCCCATGTCCATCTGTCCATCTCCGTGTCCACCATCCCCATGTCCGTCTGTCCATCTCTGTCTCCATCATTCCCATGTCCATCATCTCCATGTCCCTCTGTCCATCCCCGTCTCCATCCAAGGGACCTTCTGGCCCTTCCTGTGTCCATCTGTCCATCTCCGTGTCCACCATCTCCGTGTCCATGTGTCCATCCCCATCTCCATCCAAGGGACCTTCTGGCCTTTCCTGTGTCCATCTGTCCATCCTCGTGTCCATCATCTCTGTGTCCATCTGTCCACCCCCGTCTCCATCCAAGGGACCTTCTGTCCATCCCCATGTCCATCATCTCCATGTCCCTCTGTCCATCCCTGTCTCCATCCAAGGGACCTTCTGTCCATCCCTGTGTCCATCTGTCCATCCCTGTGTCCATCTGTCCATCCTCGTGTCCATCATCTCCATGTCCCTCTGTCCATCCCCGTCTCCATCCAAGGGACCTTCTGTCCATCCCTGTGTCCACCATCCCCACCTCCATGTCCCCCCTCTCCCTCTATCCAGGACCTCCCCAAAAAGAGGTCCCAGGTGTCCCCTCCCCCACCACCAAGTCCAGGAGAAAGGATGACCCTGGGAGGCGGGTGGTGGTGGGGGAGGGGCCAGACAGATGTTTTTGGGGGGGAGGGGCCAGATGGACACCATGATGTCCCAGAATAACCCGGTGGTGGGGGCGGCTTAATTACCAGCTGCTAATTTGGGATGGAGATCACGAGGTGGTGGAGGAGGTTGGTGGAGGTTGGCCAAGGGACCTTCTGTCCATCCCTGTGTCCACCATCCCCACCTCCATGTCCCCCCTCTCCCTCTATCCAGGACCTCCCCAAAAAGAGGTCCCAGGTGTCCCCTCCCCCACCACCAAGTCCAGGAGAAAGGATGACCCTGGGAGGCGGGTGGTGGTGGGGGAGGGGCCAGACAGATG